GAGATTCCAAAAATAATATTATATACAGAGTGTTCCATTTGAAAAATCAAAGTTGCTACTGCTTTCTAATAGAAGCGGCAACACCGCATTGTCGAAAATATTTTAGTTGGCTAGAGAATGTCCGAATATGCCCTCCATTACATTTTCAAAGTGATCCGTTGTCTGATTCACCAGAAACGTCTAATGTGCCATCCACCGTGAATCAGCCTGTATATTTGTTGGAATAGAACATGGATAACTTTAAGTTCTGAAGATCAGCGGTATATGCTGAATATTATCCAAATCATTGATGATAATGATGTAAGATATTTATATAATATAAATATGAATGGGTCAATTTTATTTTTCCCGATGTGGAGGACAAGACCGCGAAAAGGAGAGAGAATTTTCGTCATATCTCACCTATCAAAGGTGGTCCTTGTTGATGTGGCACTGATTGATGTGTTGGACTGGGGGACCTCGATCTCTGACACAAGCTGGTTGTTCCATGATCCACTTTTCTGGAAGTAATTACAGAGCCGTACTTGGGAATATGACGTCCACCTGTAGGTGAAGGTGATCGTGCAGGGCTTGTTGAAGCAGACCAAGAACCTGTAGCGCAGAAAATATTTGTCACAGATATCAATATCATTTTGAACAAAACAATTCTTTTTCGGAGAATTTCCATTCCGTGAATTGGTTGGAGGAAACTGAGAAATTTCTCTTTAAATGAAGTTTTTCCAACATATCTGTCCTGAATATTTCGACCAATTCTGAAATATCAACCATTTAGAAACAGAGTAAGTAACTAGGTACATCAGTCATGGTTTATGTACAAAAAATACGAACAAAACTTGTAAGCTGTTTCAGTTTCAAGTTACTTGATTTTCTAGTGACGTCAATATGAGTAGGATGTTCAAAAATAACAGTGGTTCGGAATTGAAGATTTAAGCTCCATAAACGTGACAAAACATGTTTTGTCAATCGTGTCTGCGGTTTGTATTTTTCAGAAATTTCTACATGAAGGTGGTGTTGGAAGGTGGTTGACAATGTTTAATGATGAATTTTATCAGTTTGGACTTCCTTTGTCTGATGTGATACGAAATGATTTGAAATCCCTGATAGAACCAATACAATTGAAAATTAGTTTAGTCATCAGCCGACGACGATTGTGGATACTAACAATTGAAACGTCGTTTGAATTTTTTCTTGTATTTTAGTTCATTGTTATTTCATTTCAAGGTTTTTTTTTGCTTTCAGCTATTCATTTCAATTTTCACTAGTAAGTATTGTTTTTTTTTAAGGAATTTAAAATAATTTTATATCATATTAGACAATGGAAGTCCGAACTGATGAAATTCATCATGAAACATTATCAACCACCTTCAAACAAACGTTGAACACCCGGTATGGAATCAGCGACTTATTCCGAGGATATGAGAGGACTATGGTCAAGCTTACCAAGGAAAAAACTCACCTCAGTTTCTCGTGCAGAGCGAGACACAACAACATCATCCCCATAGATTTTTGCTGGAATAACCATTTTGAGGAGAGAGAGCCGAACGCATATTGGAATGCGCCAGCCGAGCACTGATAAGGTCTCAGATTAATTTCTACCGTTGGGAGAGGTTAACTTTGATGCAGGATGCCACAGAACGATTTAAAAAAAGAAGATAGAGCTTGCCAAGATTGAAGGCGCGTGCTTGAAAATCCGCCAAGACATGGTGAATACTCACAACAGGAAGTAGGGAAAATTGGCGAGGAAACAATGCCCACATTCAGACCAAAAACAGGACAACTATGAAGCCCCCAATGACTCTACGAACAGAAGATTGCTTTTTCAGCTGCAAGAAAACCCGGAAAAACCTGCAGCACCACATCATCTGAAGATCTTGATTTGCCAATGTCCTCTCCCTCATAAAACAAAATGTAGGATGTCTCTAGAGGCTCTAATAAATTCAATACATCGCCAGAACACTTAGATAATGGTATAATTTAATTGATATATTTTTCACTTCTAGAAATTTTTCATAGAAAAGTTCGAAAATTCGATAATGACCTTCTGCAGGTTAATGGAATCTCATCAAAAATGTCCAAAGCCAGAATGAACATATTTCAATTATAAAAGGGGCTGATTCGGTTACTTCAAACGATTCATCATTCGAGTAGAATAGTACGAAACAAAATGTGAAAGTCATGAAAATTAATGGAAAGTTTAAGGTGTTGTAATCAACCACATGATTTCAATACTTATTGTATGAAATTAAATTGGAATATATGAGAATAGAACATATTTCAGTAGTATCAGAATTTCTTGAAAGTAGAATTGAAGATATGACAGACTTCACTGGGAATATACATACATAATTTGATAAACCTTGTAATTCAGAATATCGAAAATGGTAACTGAAGGTTATACAGATATATTCGACAATTGAATTATCAAATGACATGTAAACATTGAATTTGTTGTTGTGTTGTTGAGGATGGTGAAGAAAAATTAGGACGTGACAAAACAGCGTAAGATCTTACGTTGCTCATGTTTGATTATCGAAATATAATAACAATGTTTTCAAAATTTAGTATTTCAGGGAGAGATACAATTGTTTCAAGTAGATAATTATTCCAAAATAGGTTTTTCAACGTTCACCTCTTCCAACTTTCTCATAATGTATAGGATCTGGTCATTTCAGCGAGGACCTGCTATCTGTATGTAGGGTAATTTGCATGAATGTCTGTCAGATATAATTCTATGTCCATAAACGATGTAGTAGTTGTTTTCCGGTAGTAATTCACCAGATCATACACTGTAGAAACGATGGGAGACAAGACTGTCAAGGATTTCATTCAAAAAAATAATATGTTATTTTAATACGTTTATATCCCTTCTCCACACAATTATCATATTAATGATGAGGTGCTTTTATCCTGCTTGAAACTTGGTTCATGAGTTGGAGGTGTTATTAGTTGACAAATTTTCCTTCATATGAAGGTGTATGCTGTTAAGGTCCGGATATTTCCTATTTTCTATACTGACGGGGGATAATACTCCGAAACCGGTCTGTAGACGATCTACTCGATTGATTTAAGCATGCTGTTGGACGAACGAGAAGCATCTGCAGCATCTGTAAGGTAATTTTTTCAAATGTCTATCGGACATAATTCAATGGTATTAGTCTGGAAAGCAGTTGTTTTCAGGCAGGCATTCACCAGTTCCTATAGTCTAGGAGTATTGTGAAAATTGAATTTTTCGGAATTCATTTCGGAATACTTATTTTCCCATTAACGTTTTCTTCATTTCATTCATACTGTCTTTTTCAGAATTTCATGTGAAAAGTGAAAACATTAAAAAATTCGTCAATGATTTTATGTTGGCCTTTTGAGTATACGGAGATCTTGATTGACTTAACCATATTTCAAAAACTCTATATAGCATATACTCTATTTTTTTATTGTATATTCTAATTATATGAACTCAACGGAACTCACCCCTAGGAAATCTACTTCTTTGTGATGCCCTCTGATGTTCATGTTTCACTATCTCAACAACATTTGATACAGTATCAGAAAATCCTATATCGTGGTGAAGTTGCTGTGGAGGGAATCGTCTTCGAGGAGAAGGACTTCTATGGAGCGATGGAGAATTTTGTCTGAAAGAAAAAATTCATTCATAAATACTCATCCACCTGTAAATGAGAATGTAAAAATTTTGTGTACGTGATACTGATAACCTTCCTGAATTATTGTCATGATATGAGGAAAACAAATATTTTTTGTTTTTTCAAATTTTCATTAGTACGTAACATTTAAACTTGTTTATATTTCACATAATTTTCACATATATCATCTGTAGGGTACTTTCGTACAGGCATCGCTTTTTAGAGTGCCTCAATGGTTTTCCTGTAGTGCTTGTATTCTGTCCTTTTTGATTCTACATTTTTTTCACTCAAAGTATAACTCACTCCGTTCATGATTCTTTTGCAACAAATTGAGAATTCATGAAAAGACATCTAATATTTCCTAACGTATAACTCAACTGTCAAATTTCATTGTCTGAATATTTCAAGGTTAACACTGGCTCATATTCTTGCCTAAATATTGAATGTTCAAAGTATTTTGTATAATTTTATTGGGGTCATTTTTTTATCATCACTGACATGTTTTAAATCATTTATTATGGAACTTTCAACAAGGCAAACCTCAACAACAGAAAACTACTCAGTTACTAGTTGTTGAGACTTCAAGACAGTAGTTTCGTCCTCGCTTTCACTATTCAAGATATATGCTGCAGTATTAGATAAAACTTCTAGTACTACATTTTTTTCGACCAAATGTAACAATAATAATAGTAATAAAAAGTCAAGACAATATGTATCGTTGACTTTTCAGCTCCGGGTGTTGTAGATCAAGAGAGAGACCGGCAAATGTGATACTAAATGACTTTTATCTACGGGTTCCAACCTAAAACATCAGTAGCAAGTATGAACTCGTCGTTGAATAATGTTTCGACTACCGATTATTCAATATTTCTCCTCAATATAATGATAACATATAGAAACCTATTATTGTACCATTTACACATCATTATAATAAAATGAATTTGTACACATGTCCAATTGGAAATTTCAGAGGGATGAAATATTTATTCCTTGATTAGGTTAAATATTACATTTGAATATTTTTGTTAACCGAACTAACTACTTTTTATGGTGTATTCAAGTAATACTCCATTGCAAAATTTTCAAGCAAAATATGAACAAAGGAATGTAAGAGCTTCTACTCTTATTCCATACCTGCCATCAGTTTACACACCGAACGAGTCTGTGTTAAAACATATGAGCAAAAGCATTTGCTTTTGTTTTATTAATGAGAATCTTTGACTAAAAAGTTCACAAAAGCGCGTCACGTGTTTCACTATACAACAATAGCTTTTACAGGTATGTTCTCACTAAACTCAGTATGAAGAAGTTATTGTATAATGAAACACGTATTAGGGTTTTGTTGAATGTTTGATGAAAATCTGAAAACGTTTGTTTGAAAGTGGTTCTGCTAGTTCGGACTATTGTCTGATATGATTCCAATATAATTCGAAATCTATGGAAGAACAAATACAATTAGAATGAATATCAATTATGTATAGGCATTAAAACGTGACATTGAAATACAATGAAATGAATAAAGATAAAATAATCAAGATAAAAGATGAAAATAATCACAGAGTGAAGAAAGATTGAAAAAAAATAAAATTCAAAAGGAAGCAAAAAATAAAAAAAAATATATGAAAAAATTATGTAAAAACATATATAATTTTTTTTAAGATTTCAAACTAAGTTACTTCACGAAGTTTTTGATTGTGAGTATCTACAATCGTCTTCGAGTGATGACTAAACTATTCACTGACGTCTTCTTGATTTCAATCAGGATGGAGTCCAGCTCCCTTACCCTTTTGGCTGAGTATTGTCGAAGAAAGACAAATGTGTTCATGACTGAGAGGATGCCGGTATGAAGTCCTCAGACATCAGTACCGCCCTTCACGGGATACCCCTACCTGGCTGGGGAGGGATGGATGAAAAAGCTATTCATCCGTTAACGGGGGACATGAGGGCCATATTCCACAGAGTGTCGGGGCCTTCTATATCGGGAGGGCTCGTCTACAGCATAATCTATAGCTTCCCTAACTATCGGATTTTCGTGAGTTTCCGGAACTCGCCGGTTCCTCGACTGAATGGACTGCCGAATGGAAGGCAGCTGCAAATCTCTGCGGATGGCTTCATTCCGTACGAACCAAGGAGCATTCACAATCATTCTCATTAATTTGTTTTGCAATACCTCCAGAATGGTGATATTGTATTTCGCCGCTTGTCCCCAGACGCCTGAAGCATACATGATGACAGACTTGAACATCGTATTGTAAATGGTAATTCAATTTTTCAAGCTCATTTTGGACTTTCTGTTGATCAGAGGGTACAGTCTGACTATCCGACCCTCGATCTTTGACTTGACGTTCATGATGTGCGGGTTCCAAGTGAGCCTACGATGTATTAGAAGACCGAGGTACTTCACCCGCGCTTGCCATTCAATTTCCCTTTCAGAGATTCTCACTTTTCTGGCCGGAGAAGATTTTAGTCTTCCCTTGGTTATCGCCTGAGTCTTGTCTGGGTTCACTCGGATCTTCCAATGAAGGTACCAGCGCTCGAGGTCGTCCAATGCACGTTGCATGTAGACGACGCCGAGCTCCCGACCCATGGAAGATGAGAGGAGAGCCGAGTCGTCGGCGTACAGGGATATCTTCACACGCTCGGGCCTTGGAAGGTCGCTGGTGTAAAGGGAGTACAGCGTCGGAGAGAGCACGGCCCCCTGTGGCACTCCAGCGAGAATCTCTCTGTTATCAGACAGAGAGCCCTCTACTCTAACCTGAAATGTCCTGTCTTTCAGGAAAGACCCAATCCACCGGATGAGGCCTCGAGGCAGGTCGAGCGCGTTTAATTTGTGCAGAAGGCCTTCGTGCCAGACACGGTCGAAGGCCTTCGAGATATCTAATAGCACAATATGTACTTTTTTGTTTGCGTTAAGCTCGCGGATGGTGTTTTCGACCAGCCTTAGAGCCTGTAACTCAGAGGAGTGTTCTCTCCTGGAGCCGAATTGTTCATCAGGCAGAACATTTCGGTCCTCAACTTCTTCGTTGAGCCTTTGGAGAACAACTCTTTCAGCCAGCTTAGCCGCCGACGACAGTAGACAGATCGGGCGATAGTTCTGTGGGAACAGCGGATTCTGACCCTGTTTTGGGATCATGACGACCACCTTCTGGGAAAGTGTCTGAGAGCCAACGAACTGTTGATTATTTTAAAAAGAAATTCGCCAAAGCTCGTCACTTCCAGGTTCAAAGGATTCCAAAAGCTTTTCCCACCTTTCGTTTCGATGATCAATGATAGCCTGCTTGACTTGGTTGGTCATCCTGTTTGTCGCTGTTTTGTCCCCTGGGAGAAGGGTTCGTTGATAGAGCCTTCTCAAGCGATTTCTCTCTCGTATCAAGATACGAGGTGGAAACTCGTTATAGCTCTTCAGCGGACACTCCTCCCTGGAGGATCCGTCTTGGATCTCATGCGATAATCAGGGAAAGGAAGATCATAGTCCAATACCAGGATTACTGGATTATGATCGGAATCCATTTCCGACAGAACGTAAATTTCGCTTGTCAGAGAGACGTTTCTGAGAAGCACGATGTCTGGTACATCAGGCCTAGTCTGCCCGCGATAGTACGTAGGCTCATCTGGTCCCAGCACTAGATATTCATGTCTGTCAACATTCGCATGGAGCGCTTGGCCGTTTCGATTTGTGGCTCTGCTCCAAGGTCTGTGCTTGGCATTGAAGTCGCCAGCAGCAATTGTCGGAATGTTGCTTCTCATCAGCAGTTCATCCAGTGAAGTCCAATTTTTTTTAAACAATGCCGTTGGCATTTCAAAAAACTATCTTCAGAGATCTAGGCAATGTTGGTTGTCTAGACATTGGCAGTTCCGGTTATCACGTCGATATTCACCGTGAACATTTTCTGAAGCACGGGGAATTTGACGAACAGCTTTTTCATCTAGTCCAGTGCGGCACAGATGTCTGAAACCCCCTGAGTCTGAGGTGAGGGTTCAGGTCGAGGGGAGGTGAGCTTTGCCGTACTGCTTGCACCCTTGGATACAGCTCTAGCAAATCTGACCCCCTTCTGGACGCGTCCAGACTCCGCAGGTCTCCCTGAAGTGGCTGGCTTTTTAGGAGTTGTCTGCCCTTTACGCTGTACCTTGGGGTACGCAGGGCAGCCACGGCAATTCGTGGTATGGACCCCTTCACAGTTGTTGTACTTCGGGGGGTCAGCTCTGACCTTTTTGCAGTTACTAGTTAGGTGCCTGCCAGCGCACTTGACGCAGATGGGCACTGCTAGGCAATTGCGCTGGCAGTGACCAAAACGCTGACAACGGCGGTAGTAGTTGCATAATGGAAACTAGAAACCTCGACAAGTTTTGAGTAGCTGAATCTCTGGAACTGATGATCGGTCTGAGCGGAACCAACTTTTTGTGGATTTTGGGTAGTCTATGAAGGTGAGGGGGCTTACAGTGGTGCGGTGTTAACCAAGATCCCTCCTTTTCTGAAAAAAAGTTTGGTGTTTTTTCAAAGTCAGGTACAACTTCCTTTCAATTGATACAGTGGGGTCCCGTACAATCTTCATGTGTTGTCCCTTCTGAAGAACATCTTTGATCTTTTGTTCGTAGAAATCAGTATCCATCACGATAGTAGCTTCTCCCTTATTTGCAGGTAGGATCTGCGATTTCGAGAATTGCATTCAGCGGATACCCTGTGAGTGCGTCAATTCATATATCAGTGAAAGTAAGAGGTCCATTGAAAGTCCGCATTGTCAAGCCCAAGAGAAACACACAGCGAGGAGAAACCAGCAAATCGACAATAGCAGACCATGTTTGGACTCATCAATATAACATCAAGTGAACCCAAACTGAGATCATTCACAGGAATCAACACTGGTTCAAAAGGAAGTTCAAAGAAGCTGCACATATGGTAATGAACGACCGTAGAAATGCGCAACATATGCAAACCTGTAATCAAGCAAAAAACAGTCAACTTTCGCTGAACCGGTGAAACGGAGAGAGGTATGAGGGAAAAGGTGAAAGCGTTCGAATGACCAATGGATAGTCATCTCTCGGAGGAATAGTCCAGTCACCACCCGAAGACGATTATGGATATTGACAGTCGAAATGTTCTGAAGTAACTTGTTTTAAAATCTTTATAGTTTCAGTATTTTTTTGACATTTTTTTATCTTGATTATTTCATTTTCATTCATTTTGTTGCATTTTCATATCACGTTCTATTGCTTACACATAAGTGTAAGCTATACCACTCATCAGGTATAGGCCAATTCCATCACATAATTTTGATGAGTTCAATTTTGTTACTTGAAAAATATTTCTATATATACATACACTGTATTCAACTCAAATTAACACGTGGGCTGAAAAGTTCTGGGCCTAAGGAAAAACTCGTTTTTTTTTTTCATTCATCAACATAATCTCCATCAAGAACTACACAATCATTAAAACGCCGATCTAACATTTCAATACCACTTTTGTTATATTGAAATGTTAGATTGGCGCTTTAATTCGAGCAAAATTTCTTACCGGTGAGCATTATTTTGAGGTCTGCGAACAGCCAGTAGTTGCTGGGAGCCAAATCTGCCGAATACAGTGAATGTGGGAGCAATTCGAAGTTCAATTCATGTGGTTTTATCATAGTTTTGATTGACTTATGACACGGTGCGTTGTCTTCATGTTTTGCCATATGCGGTCATTTCTTTGCAATTTCGGTTTTAAACGTTCCAATAACACTATATAATATTCACTTTTGATGGTATTTCCCTTCTCGAGATAATCAATAGATATTATACCACGCACATCTCAGATGACCATCGTTTTGACTCCGAAGTGAAGTGTTGGATCCATGTTTCATCCATTGTCACATATCAACGCACAAATTCCGGTTTGTAATGTTTAAACATGGCCAAACACTGCTCAGAATCGACAAGGCGTTCTTGTTTTTGAACAACAGTGAGCTCGCGCGGCATCCACTTTGAACAGAGCTTCCTCATAGTCAAATGCTCATGCAATATAAAGCCAACACGTTCTTTTGATATTTCACGCCACTTCACTTCTCGATCATTCAAAACGATTCTGTGGATTTTTTTATATTTTCTGGTGTTACTGCCTCATTTGGACGTCCAATGCATTCTGCATCGTCGATGTGTTTACGACCATGTTTGAAGTCAGCAAATCAACATTTACTCAATTGCTGTTTTTGATGAAGTGCAATCCTTATAACATTTTCAAGCCATTGCTTCGCTTGAACGGTATTTTTTTCCATCAAGAAATAGTATAAAATCAAAACACGGAGTTATTTTTGATTTATTGTTTTGAAAATAACTAAAGTAGTATCACTCTTAGCACAATAACTCACAAACTTTTGTGTAGAATATCATGAAATTTCAACCGCTTTCTTTTGAGGGTTAGTGCTAACTGTAAAATCGTTGTATGCAATAAGACTAGCGCCATCTATATGTTAGACCCGAGACTTTTCAGCTCAGGGAGTATATGATAACATATAAAATGATATAGATAATTGATACTTGTTTTCGCACTCACCAACGTAGTTAAAAAAAAATAATGATCTATTTCAACCCAATTTGTCAAAAGTGGCACTACTCAAAAAATCACTATCCAAAGATTCGAATTATGTGCTGCAGTTTTATTAGCAGAATTACTTTCCTTCACTCTAAATATTTCAGTAGAGAATATCGACTTTGTGAAGATATGTATTTCGTCTGACTCGCAAATAGTCTTAAACTGTTAAAGGGCATGACAGGAGTGAAGGTAATCGCATTGCCGACTCGTTAGCCAAGGAAGCGGCTGTACTAAGAATTTTAGGACCCACGGCCTGATGACTTCGATAATTGCGGAACTAGTCAAATGTTACACCCATGCTCAATGCTTAAAGAGATGGGATGGAGTCAAAGGATGCAATCTTGCCAGGATCACCTTGGGTGACCCTGGGAAGCTGGCGCCAAAGAAATATCTGGCGATGACCAGGAAAAATCTACGATTATTAGTAGGATTTCTAACTGACCACTGTCAACTAAGGAAACACCTCCATAATATAGGGCTAGTGGACACACCTCTATGCAGGATGTGCGAACAGGAATCATGTCAGGCATGTCTTATGCGAGTACCCGGAGTTATCGTCAATAAGAGAGTGTGTGTTCGGCGAGTCTTGGCCTACCCCTGCTGATATAAAAGAGATGTATCCCAATGACCTGTCCACCTTCCTGGAAAGGACAGGATGGACAATGACCTAGGAGGAAAAGTTCTCGGGAAGACGTACAATGGGTCACATGTGGCCTAAGTGCTGTGGGCTTACACTCACCCTCCCTACTCTACAGATACAGATACACATAGTCTTAAACTGGATAAAAAGTTTTACACATTATCTGAAGGTATTTGTTGCAAATTGAATAGCCTAATATATCCCGACTCATTGTATTATGTTGAGTCTAGATACAATCTTGCAGATGTAGCTTCTCGCAGTATTTTACCATCTGATTTTTCCTCAACTCCCGATTGGTTTCGTGGTTCATATATACACCAGAAATTTGAAACTTTGTATCTTAATGTTCAAGTTTCCTCTTTTTGTACCCCTACATCTCAAGAAGAAAAGCGAAAACTCGAATTTATAGTATTTCATCAGTTCGGACTTCCATTGTCTAATACAATATAAATTGTCAACACCTTGTCACACCACCTTCAAACAAACGTCGAATTTATAGCTCATACTGATGATTAATCTCTAGTTTACATTTCATGTAGAAAATGCTCATCTAATCGATTTTCCGAACCTTGGCAAATATTGCATGTTTTTATTGATTCAAAGTATCTACTTCCTCTTCGTCTCCTGATCCTATATTAATACCATGAAGGAGTTTTTCAATAAATTTCATATGAAGTGAAAGATTGATAATATAAAAAAATTATTTATTTCAGTTTGGAAATCGACAATAGCAGACCATGTTTGGACTCATCAATATAACATCAAGTGAACCCAAACTGAGATCATTCACAGGAATCAACACTGGTTCAAAAGTAATCTCCTGATCCTATATTGATACCATGAAGGAGTTTTTCAATAAATTTCATATGAAGTGAAATATTGATAATATAAAAAAATTATTTATTTCAGTTTGGCATTTTTATATATGTGCTATAGGCTACTCCGACCTCCGAGAAAAATGATCTAACAATGTTTCCATTGCCGCAGCAAAATTTTCATGGAAAATAAAGTAATTGATTTCGTCACGACTTACCCATGAGTGGGGCTGCAGTGGCGATTGATGAAACCTACAGGCCTCAAGAGGCTTTGATCTCCTATACTATCACAAGATCCTCGACGAGATCCAATAATATCCTGTATATCCATCACCTAAAATGGGCCGTAAGAATATAAGGTCTGACGTAAATATAACTGAGAAATGATAATCATTTATTTTTCGAATATATTTTTTGTGAATTGTGCAGAATGTAAAAAACGTAAGTCATGCATAAATCATGCACTAGAAAAGCTAAAGTACTTCAATTCACTTCTAAACATTCTCCTACTTTTCGTTTGCAAATGTTTGAATCCTAGGTTCGATTCACACCATTTTTGTGATTGGATCAATTCCAATTCTCAATATACAAAGAGATTTTATCCCATATTTGTAACAGAAGTTATCTAATTTGTCGGTGTTAGTAAATCTAGTATTTTAAGAACTCCTTGCGAACTAGTTCATAATTACAGCATATAAAAAGATCTATTTGAAACAATAAAACGAAATTCACTATGAATTCCACAAAAAACTTCACAACTATTCTAAATACACCTTAGAAATTTCTAAGCTATGATATATTTCGGTATCTGTGAATATTTATAACTAAATTCTTCCATCTATATTCCAACACCCAGAAGACTATTTCTAAAATTATTATATTACCACCGAATTCAATTTTCATCACCTTTCTGCTCCTGAAACAAAAAAAAATATACTTGAATTTTTACCAGTAAGCATCAAGATCTGTTTTTGGATTAAAAAAAAATTAAAAGGTCTGATACACCTCTCAAACCAAGTTCTTTGCTTTGATTTTTTGTCCTCGTCAGACATGTTTCTATTTTTGTAAAGATAAATATTTCAATTTGGATTTTTAGGTTAGGTACAAAATTTCCAAATATCCGAAAACAATTGACTCTATCCCAAAAAGGAAAATCATACTATCCTAAAGAATTTATGAAATGTCTAAAATGTTGATGTTCAGTTATAGCTTACCTGAATGACCGGTTTCTTTTCGTGCTCCTTCTAGCCAAAGAAAAAAGGGACCCCTCTTCTGGTAAATTCAATAGTGCCTCATGTTCGCATTCTCCCATCAATGGAGCACCTTCTAAGCTCAGGGACCCCGCTCTACTTCCTCCAAGGTGACCAGCCATATCCATTAGGCAGTCAAAAAATGATGCTTTCTGTTTTATGGAAATAACTTAAACTTAAACATTTTCGAAAAAAAATATCTTCAAATGTAATCGAAAAGATTCCATTACTTTTCCGGGCAAAGTTATAAGCGGCTAACTCAGGAAATATCTTCATTTTATTCAATATTCTTTCAGAAACCCATCTCAAAACATAAATTGTATATGAAAGGATTCAAATATCCAAATTACATTTCCATGCAGTCACAAAATGATGAATATTCTAATTTCTACTCTACCTGATTTGCAACTTCTAGTGTATTTTTGCATGCTGTCCTCTAGAAATAGAATTTTCAATTGGTGATTGCTATTCAAAAAGATATTTACCCCAATTTGAATAATTCATATTTTTCGTGAGCGTGGAATATACAGGCTGATTGACAGCCTGTATATTCATTATATATGTATGTCATTTTAAAAATTAAAAAAAAATCAAGTATCTTCTTAACACTTGAATGAATCGAGTCCCGTAGAAAAATGTTTTAACACCATTTTTCAAAAAGGTATTCAATTGTTAACTAACAAATTTTTTCCCAATCTC